TGCTGATTGATTCTAAAAATCAGCCTTGACTTAATCCAAGCTTACAAGATCCAGCTGGACTTTGAGAACAAATAATAATGTCCTGGATATCCCTACCAGGTGCCAACCATTATAAAAGTATTATTCCGCGAAATACAGAGTGATGTTTCTCCTTGCAAGTGAGGGCATGGTGACATGGTATGGTGTGTGAAAAAAAAAAAAAAACAGCAAACCCCCTGCAGTACAGAGAGGCCTTTTATAAGACAAAATGCCACTGAGATGGGGTTTGTCATGGTCTCTCCCACTGTGCTAACATAAAAGCCAGAGCAGCAGCTCCACTATGTAACCTGGAGTGACCTAAAAGAAACCAAATATTAGAGAGTATTAGATGTTTCTCTGCAGTGTCACAACGTGGGGTAGCATTTCAAGTCTACCTGACACAAGTCATTCTTATATTCATTACAAACTCTTTGTATAGGTTGATAGAGCTAGACAAAAACTTAAATATAAAGAAGAAGCAACATTATATAGTAAGTGGTGTATGAGTAATAGCGATGAACACCATTTTAGACACAAGTCTAAAGGGTTTTTTATTGTCATAGTGTTCATTATTTTGTTATGCCCAAAGTGGAGCAGCATGTCATATTTTGTAACCTCCTTGCAGGCATGCTATGGACATAATTCATACCGAAAATGCTTGAGAAAATAAATATAGATAACCACTGCTGCATTTCATACAGTACATCAGCAGTAAAGCTACAAGAAGGGAGTATTTACAACTCAGCCAGAGCAGTGTAACAGTTAGTGTTTTACAGCAATTTCCAACATGAAACAGCATTAATTGATAGGCGAAATGGACATTAATCCACTGGGCAAAATGTAAAGCCCTGCATTATCCTGTTGTAGCACCCTGGTTTTACACCAGTAACTGGGGGTGGGGGTTGTCCTCCTGACCTAAATGATGAGTCTGATAAAGCCAATGAAGCACACGTCTGGACAATGTTTGCTCTAGCCAGTGGGGAAATGTGTCCTGTTTATCCTGTTACACCAGCCTGCCTGCCTCACTTCAGGTGGAGTTAAGGCATTTATAAGACTTTGATAACGATGTGGCAGCTAGTGTTGTCAAGCTAGCATTGCTATACACTCCTACATGTTCAGAAAAGTGCAATGAATCAATGAAGTAACGTCAGGCATGCATAATGACAAAGGAGTGTGTGGCTAGCAGCATGCTAACAGCCCGGCGAGCCAGCGGCTGTCAGAGCAGGGCGCATGTTTGTGGGACTGACAGCTGAGAGGGGGGTAACAAGGGGAGGAGGGGGGGCCGTAAACAGCTGACAGACCCAGCAGTGAGTGGAATAAGTTGTCGACAACAAAGTTATCACTTTACAGAGTAATATCAGTCCTAGTGACACCAAAAACTGAGAATCCAACCTTTGCTTTGCCGGCCTCCAGCTTCTTTTGCCTCTCCTCGTCCTCCATCACCGCTGTTCCTGTGGCTGAAACAAGAGGGAGACTGCTTCATGCGAAATACCAGCGAGGTAAATCTAAAAGCTAACCGTTAAATATTTCTCTCGTTTTGGCTTCCAGCTCGCCTCCAGTCGCATTTACTAGGTGCTGTATCCTTGTTGGTAGTCCGCCGCCATGTTTTCCACGTAAACATGAGACCCATCAATGATGACGTCGCGTAGGTGCGGCCACGCCCACTGGCATACCAATAGTGTTGCCTTCAGGGCTGTCAGAAATCTCGCGATTACTTGTTTTATTCTCAATGCGTGAATGTGTTTGCAGCATTTTAATCAGTCGTGTAAATTAAGCAAGTACATTTTGAGGGACACATAGGCTACTTTAAATTACTTGAGTATATTACATTACAATGCAGAGGTAAATAGTGTACTTTTGCTTCTAAAACATCTTTAACAAACCACATACATAACTCTGTTTGTTTGTCATGTTTACTTTTTATTTTCTCATGTTTTGATCTATGATGTTTGGAAATAAATTTGAATTTATAAAGGCAATACTCATTTTGCAGAACCTTTTAATTTCTTAATGTACACTAAATAAAGTATTCTATTATCCACATATTCACCATGGATGTCTATGTTTTAGATGCAGTCTGAATAGTGCTTAAAACATCTGCTCAGTTTCTATGGTAACGGGAGGAAAGGCAGAGCTGTCCCATTTGAGAGGTTTTTTTTTTGAAGACAAGATATTTTAATTTCAAAGCTGCGTTTTTTTTGTTGTATAAAAAACTTGTTTCATCAACTCAAGTTGATAGAGAATGACACATGATTGTGTTATTCTGAGCAGATTTAACAACAACAGTGCCGTATACTCATTCAAAAAGGAAACATTTGAGCCTCATTGGCTGAATGGGACAGGTAACATGAGAGACTGGCTTATGTTTCTAGGACAGATGGAGGCGATAAAAGACTAAATGTTCAGTATTTAGCAGAATATTTATGTGGAACTGATCTTTATCGGCTGAATAGTTATAGTAATTATCAATACAATTTATATAGCAGTATTTGTTCTGCAAACATGTTTAGTTTTACAATAATTACTAAGGTGTCATTTTGCTTCATATAATATATGAAGCAAAATGACACTATTTGTTCATCAATTCATGTAAAAATGTTTTTATATTATAAAAACATTTTTACATGAATTGATGAACAAATAAGTAGCCTAATGTGCAGCAATTCTGATGTCAGGGACCAGGATTTTGGAAGAACTGTGATCCTATTTTGGTGAATTCTGCCTCATTTGTTTGATTCTTGTATAATGTTATTGTATTATTTATTTTAAGTAAAGCACACATAAATCACTTAGTGTACAAATACACTTGTCTTCTCTTTTTTGTATTCTTTGTTTTTGAATTGTGTAATTACATTTTCTTCTGAAGGAGAGAACCTTGAGATATTTTTCTCATGTTCGATGGATAGGACCATAAAAATGTAAACAGCTTGCGAAATGTATGTGTATTTGTAAAATGTGAAAACAACCTCAAGTTGTTAAGAAACACAATGTTTGTCTTCAACTTAACAAATGTTAATGTTAAAGGTTATTTAAACTATAGTACCATTATATAAGTCCCTGTCATCTCACCTTTTGTTTCAATTATGGTTAAAACAAACGACCCTACAAAAATGTAAACATTTCTCTGCCCTCCAATAACATTTAAAACATACCCGCAGCAGCAGCAGCAGCAGCAGCAGGAGAGGATGCTCTGTGTCTTCGGCTGACAGGAGCCGAACAGCTTATGGTCTGGCAAATTTTGAATTCCACCCATCTTCTTTTAGACATTCTTACCAGCTTGATACCAGCTGTTAAAACTCAATGTTTGTGCAACAGCGTCTGCAGGAACCACTGAGCATTTGAAAGCTTCGACAGTTTTTGAATTATTCATTCACTGAAGGAGTACTGTGTCAGCAGTTACCCGAGCAACTTTACCAATGTAGACCACAACAAAGGGATCAGGATAGAAATCTATTCAATATTAAAAACATAACAAGAGGCTCAAAAGGGAGTGAGAAACTAGGCACACTCGAAATAAAATGGAATCAGATGAGTACAATGGAAAGCTAAATAGGCAAAATCATTATCAGCTCAAATTAAAGACATGGATAGTTGTGTTTTTAAAAAGAGCATGGCTGAGGGGAGGAAGAGCCACTCAAATGCTTGTTATAATTTACTAATAGTCTACATGTTATTTGAACATTTTCACATAAATACCATGTTATTTCAAAGTAGTGTCATGATGCAACTGATGTTTTTTTTTATTATGTTTTTGTGTCAGTGTTACCTTAAGATGTGTAGCTCCAAGTGTTAAACACGACAATCAAATTCCAACACAGTTATCTTTCTTGCATCTCCTCTATAGCCTCACATTAAAAATTATGGAAATTTGGCCATAAGAGCTGTTACCAAACACATCATTATGCAGATACAGGCAGAAGTGCTTTTTGACAAGAGTGAGAAAACTGGAACTGTGTTTGATAATGACAAATACACTGTCCTGTTGATAATAGGAAAACATGTATCTGAGATCCTATCATGGACAAAGCTGCTTTCACTGAAACACCACGCTCACTTCAATCTTAGAGCAGCGGGGTGAAAGCTCCTTTGCATAATGAAGATATCACTGTGCAGTATTAAAATATTCACGAGTGGTTGGACTCATCAGTAAAGAGTGGTAATGGGTCAGTAGGTTTTTCAGTGCTAAGCAAAGAGATACAACACATGGCAAATGCTCTATTGTACCTCATGCATAAAGGGTTGTCAGATGTGTGTCTGCCATTAATTAACTATTAATGCAAGCTCACATTCCAACATATATTTTATCATAGAATTGGTATTGTTATACTGAATATAGGCATGTATCATAATAAAGCTATGACTTGAAAACCCTAATTCACCCTGATAGCATTGTAAGTGAATGGTTATTTATTCACTGTGAACATTATGTGCACAATAGTAATGCAATGATTCAGGTCAAAAATAAGTCAAAAATAAAATAAAACTCAGGTTCAATTTAAAAAGGTTGAGCCCTTTGTATTGTTTCTATGAATGTGAGAGTTTTAACAACCGTGCACAGTTATGACGAATGGTGAAAGCTTATATTATGAGCTTATTCTAAAATTAATCAAATTATGTATTGAAATAATTTAGTTTATCTTCACCCAAACTATATACTTAATACAAATGGGAAATAATAGAAAGGTAATTAAATAGAAGAAAAATAAAAACAGACATAGTCAATGTATTTCAAATCTCATCAATAAATGAATATCTAGATTTATAGTCACTATGATATTTACTGCCCAATTATTACCATATACATTAATTTATCCAGTGTTTGATTTTTGATTTTGGTAGCCTCCATCCTCCACAATTTGAAAGGTTACCCATGGCCTGGACCAGAGCCGTATAATAGAATATCTACATTATATGGCGCTGGCCTGGACTAAATAAAATGATAAATTAGTTCCATCTAGTGGTTGGAAGTGAGCTGGGTCCAGTTTGTCTCCAAAACGCCAGATGGCGCTGTGAGAGCTTTTTTCCCTCGAGCTTCGCGTTTCCGCTTTCTCCTTGACACTGGGCTGTAGTTGGCTAAGAGAAACCAAACGTATATGGTATGCTTTTTTAATCTAATTTCTTCACAAGGAATATCGCTTTGAAACATTGATAATTCATTGTACATACTAAATGTTTAAACGTTTTCGGTCAATACTTGTTCGGGTCTTTCAGGCAGTCATTTGGGGGCAAACAAAGTTTCTGACGTAGCTGCTGTAGCTCGTCTTCGTGGTGTGTTTTTGTCATATATCTGTACATTTAGCCATCACCTGGTTTCAAGGTAGTCAATAACTACTGCCTCATCGTAAGAAATTAGAATAATGTGAGTTTTCCCTTAGCACAGAGTCTTAACAGAAGCTGACATTGTCATGTATCTGTAGATATAAGAAATATCTCCCAGATTCAGATGATACACAGTTGATACACAATTTGATCAACAAATGAAATGAACTCCATTGATAGGAGATTAACTCTATATCAACACCTTACAACATTAAAATGCTTCAGACATGTTTCAACATAGAATCCAACCGAATTTAAAATATATTCTATCTAAAAAATATATATCTGCATTTTGAGTAATTTTGATTCACATATTATTGATCATATTTACTGTTCTCTTTAAGTAGGGAACAAAATATTAATTACATAACAAACAGTATGCCGTTTACGTTCAAACTGAATTTTTCCCTTTGACTCCATCATTGTTTAGCTAAACATGTTTATTTTTGTTTCAGTTTCTCTAAAACAGGCAGAGGTGTTACAAAGTAGCTTTACAAATGGCAGCATTACCCGGAGTAAGGGCTCTCCAAAGGCTTCATCAACCAGGGACATTTCAGCGGTGCTTTGGGCTCATCCCAGTACAGTTGACACCAACCTGTCTTCCCAGGAGGCTTTGCACTGCTCCTACAGGTAGTAAGGAGCGAAAGCAGCCGGACACCCCAGAGAATGTATCGCTGGTGGAGAATCTGACCCTAATGGGAGTTGACTTGAAGATGGCACGCCTGCGTCAGCCCGGGGTGCTTCGTAAAGCCTTCACAAATGAGCAAGCTGTCGCTCTCTTTTTGGACAAAAAAGGTGCCCCTACTAACACAATCGCCAGCATCATATCCCGTTGTCCTCGCACTATCACCCGCTCCGTTCAACACCTAGAACAGCGCTGGGAGGTGTGGAGAAAGATCTTCAATACTGATGACGAAATTGTGAGCATCCTGTATCGCTCACCTGAGTATTTCTTTCGCTCCAGTAATATTGCTAACTTGGATAACAACATCACTTTTCTCACCTCGCTGGGACTGAACACCAAAGACCTCCATCGTCTGCTGACCACAGCGCCGCGGACATTCTCCAACAGCTTAGAGCTGAACAAGCAGAGGGTGGCCTTTCTGAAAGAAATATGTGCCGAACTTGGCGGGAAGAATCCAGAGCAGTTTCCTAAAGTTTTAATATCCAGAGACTTTTACATTCTCACCAGAAGCACGAAGAATGTCAGGACAAATATCGACTTCCTTAGAGCTTCTCTTACGTTGAGCAATTCAGAACTGCTCAACCTCTTTCAAAGGACTGGAGCAAAAATGCTGTACCTTCCTAGTGAATATCTGAAAAATAATGTTCAAAGTCTTGAGCAAAAGATGGTAGCACTTGGCTGTCAGAAAGCTGGCATGAAGGAACTAATCCTCAGCTCTCCAATAGTTCTGCTCTTTGGGCAGGACAGGCTCAGCACTAAACTGGACTGTCTGTTAAAAGGGGGAATAACAATGAAGCAGATAATGGGAAAGCCCAAATTGTTACATTTCAGAACACAGAACATCTTAGGGCGACTAGAGGAGCTGAAGAGAGTGGGATATGACTTTCAGGAGAAAGGCATCAACGTCCTGGACTCTAGCCAAAAGTGCTTTGTTGCAAAGATTGCAAGACTTGATGCCTGAGGACAGAATATAACTTTGTTATATGATGTTACATCATTGTGGATGCTGCTTTTACTTGGGCTTGCTTTACAAACATGTTTTGTTCATTTAGTAAGTAGAATATGATTTCTGACTTTTGGATGTCTCTTTTGTAACACTGGTTTGGTTTGGCTATGACAAACATGTTCCCTGATTAATCATAAGGTCTGTAAAATAAGGAAAAACTAAATCACAGTATGATGTTCAAAGTTCTTGTTTTGTCCAACCAATTATCCAAAAACACAAAGACATTTTATTTTTCTATCACAACTAGTGCAGCAAATGCTTACAATTGAGAAACTTGCTGCTTCAATGTTCTGTCAATTGACTGACTGTTTGAGTTCTAATAGCTAGTCATTTATTGTTAAAGATTGTACTTTTGTACCACTGACACCTGTTAAGAAAATCCTCTTCCATTGATTTGATCATTTTATTTCTTCATCATGTATACATTTCATGTTGGAGAGTTGCTCTTAGAATTCATGTGAGGATACAATCTCGAAATAAAAGTGATCTGACTGTTACAAGGTTAGTCTTTCTTTTTGTAATGATCTTTGTATGGGAGAATACATGCACGGAGGTTTTGTTTTTTTAATGATGGAATGCCTTTAAAGAAAATATATGATATAAATCCTATTATTTTATTTGCAAAACATATAACCCTGCCAGCAATATATTTATCTTTCTAAACATAATGGAGCTTTTCCTCGCTAGGATTTGTGAGAACAGTGTGACGTTAGCTTATTGGGCCATCAGATTTCTATTTTCCATAATATGGGTAATCTGATTGTATACTTCATTCCTGGACTGTAGGGATCAATTTGAATTGTTTTATAGTTTATTCTGAAAATGTCTGAGATGAATTTGAAAGACGTGGAACCAATGTTCGTCTGTCAGTACACCCGGACCTCTCCAAACTGCTGCACATGTCTTTCCTCATGCCGTGGGATTGTTGTTGCGCTTGTTAGAAAAACCAAACGTATATGGTATGCTTTTTTAATCTAATTTCTTCACAAGGAATATCGCTTTGAAACATTGATAATTCATTGTACATACTAAATGTTTAAACGTTTTCGGTCAATACTTGTTCGGGTCTTTCAGGCAGTCATTTGGGGGCAAACAAAGTTTCTGACGTAGCTGCTGTAGCTCGTCTTCGTGGTGTGTTTTTGTCATATATCTGTACATTTAGCCATCACCTGGTTTCAAGGTAGTCAATAACTACTGCCTCATCGTAAGAAATTAGAATAATGTGAGTTTTCCCTTAGCACAGAGTCTTAACAGAAGCTGACATTGTCATGTATCTGTAGATATAAGAAATATCTCCCAGATTCAGATGTTAAATACACAATTTGATCAACAAATGAAATGAACTCCATTGATAGGAGATTAACTATCTCAACACCTTACAACATTAAAATGCTTCAGACATGTTTCAACATAGAATCCAACCGAATTTAAAATATATTCTATCTAAAAAATATATATGCATTTTGAGTAATTTTGATTCACATATTATTGATCATATTTACTGTTCTTTTATTTAAGTAGGGAACAAAATATTAATTACATAACAAACAGTATGCCGTTTACGTTCAAACTGAATTTTTCCCTTTGACTCCATCATTGTTTAGCTAAACATGTTTATTTTTGTTTCAGTTTCTCTAAAACAGGCAGAGGTGTTACAAAGTGGCTTTACAAATGGCAGCATTACCCGGAGTAAGGGCTCTCCAAAGGCTTCATCAACCAGGGACATTTCAGCGGTGCTTTGGGCTCATCCCAGTACAGTTGACACCAACCTGTCTTCCCAGGAGGCTTTGCACTGCTCCTACAGGTAGTAAGGAGCGAAAGCAGCCGGACACCCCAGAGAATGTATCGCTGGTGGAGAATCTGACCATAATGGGAGTTGACTTGAAGATGGCACGCCTGCGTCAGCCCGGGGTGCTTCGTAAAGCCTTCACAAATGAGCAAGCTGTCGCTCTCTTTTTGGACAAAAAAGGTGTCCCTACTAACACAATCGCCAGCATCATATCCCGTTATCCTCGCACTATCACCCGCTCCGTTCAACACTTAGAACAGCGCTGGGAGCTGTGGAGAAAGATCTTCAATACTGATGACGAAATTGTGAGCATCCTGTATCGCTCACCTGAGTCTTTCTTTCGCTCCAGTAATATTGCTAACTTGGATAACAACATCACTTTTCTCACCTCGCTGGGACTGAACACCAAAGACCTCCATCGTCTGCTGACCACAGCGCCGCGGACATTCTCCAACAGCTTAGAGCTGAACAAGCAGAGGGTGGCCTTTCTGAAAGAAATATATGCCGAACTTGGCGGGAAGAATCCAGAGCAGTTTCCTAAAGTTGTAATATCCAGAAACCTTTACATTCTCACCAGAACCACGAAGAGAGTCAGGACAAATTTCGACTTCCTTAGAGCTTCTCTTACGTTGAGCAATTCAGAACTGCTCGACCTCTTTCAAGGGTCTGGAGCAAAAATACCGTACCTTTCTAGTGAATATCTGAACAATAATTTTCAAAGTCTTGAGCAAAAGATGGTAGCACTTGGCTGTCAGAAAGCTGACATTAAGGAACTAATCCTCAGCTTTCCAAGAGTTCTGCACTTTGGGCAGGACAGGCTCAGCACTAAACTGGACTGTCTGTTAAAAGGGGGAATAACAATGAAGCAGATAGTGGGAAAGCCCAAAGTGTTAGATTACAGCATACAGAACATCTTAGGGCGACTAGAGGAGCTGAAGAGAGTGGGATATGACTTTCAGGAGAAAGGCATCAACGTCCTGGACTCTAGCCAAAAGCGCTTTGTTTCAAAGATTGCAAGACTTGATGCCTGAGGACAGAATATAACTTCGTTATATGATGTTACATCATTGTGGATGCTGCTTTTACTTGGGCTTGCTTTACAAACATGTTTTGTTCATTTAGTAAGTAGAATATGATTTCTGACTTTTGGATGTCTCTTTTGTAACACTGGTTTGGTTTGGCTATGACAAACATGTTCCCTGATTAATCATAAGGTCTGTAAAATAAGGAAAAACTAAATCACAGTATGATGTTCAAAGTTCTTGTTTTGTCCAACCAATTATCCAAAAACACAAAGACATTTTATTTTTCTATCACAACTAGTGCAGCAAATGCTTACAATTGAGAAACTTGCTGCTTCAATGTTCTGTCAATTGACTGACTGTTTGAGTTTTATTAGCTAGTCATTTATTGTTAAAGATTGTACTTTTGTACCACTGACACCTGTTAAGAAAATCCTCTTCCATTGATTTGATCATTTTATTTCTTCATCATGTATACATTTCATGTTGGAGAGTTGCTCTTAGAATTCATGTGAGGATACAATCTCGAAATAAAAGTGATCTGACTGTTACAAGGTTAGTCTTTCTTTTTGTAATGATCTTTGTATGGGAGAATACATGCACGGAGGTTTTGTTTTTTTTAATGATGGAATGCCTTTAAAGAAAATATATGATATAAATCCTATTATTTTATTTGCAAAACATATAACCCTGCCAGCAATATTTTTATCTTTCTAAACATAATGGAGCTTTTCTTCGCTAGGATTTGTGAGAACAGTGTGACGTTAGCTTATTGGGCCATCAGATTTCTATTTTCCATAATATGGGTAATCTGATTGTATACTTCATTCCTGGACTGTAGGGATCAATTTCAATTGTTTTATAGTTTATTCTGAAAATGTCTGAGATGAATTTGAAAGACGCGGAACCAATGTTCGTCTGCCAGTACACCCGGACCTCTCCAAACTGCTGCACATGTCTTTCCTCATGCTGTGGGATTGTTGCTGCGCTTTTTAGGGTAAGAGACAAGCATAATCAAAGTTAACTGTATTTGTTTAGTGTTTTTACTTTAGCTTTTTAAGTGCTATAAATTACTCTTAAATGCGTTAGCAAGCCAGCAGCTAATCGTTTCTGTGAACATCATTTATGTTAGCTGTTAGCTTCTTAGCAGGTAGATTCAGTTAAAGCTACAGTAACGTTAGCTGTTTACAAACTTAATATAAAAGGTAAGTTACTCTGGTAATGTTAATTTGGATTCATTTCAACAGACAGGCAACCTAAATGAAGGTAACGTGATTTTGCTATAGCACCTTTCATACAAGCAATGTAGAACAATGTGATTTACAATGAAGGAAATGAACATTGATTGAATATGCTTTTTCACATTTATTTCACAATAAAATGCATTTTATCATAGTAAACACTTGAGAAATATAAAATCAATGTTAAACTAAAATGAAATATAACCCTGAAATGCATAACCAAAGGTGGATATCCAAAGCCACTGTATAATAACAATAATACAAAGATTCTGTCATGTGATACATTAGTTAGTACGATTTAATCAGTGGATTAATCGATATGTTTTCCAACAGAGGGATTTGGAGAAAGCCTGTGGGATGGAAAATGCTATGGAGGAAACTGTTGAAAAGAAGACTGATGTCATTGTGAAGGGCGATGCTGCACTCAAAACACAGTAAGTTACTAGCTTATTGTGGAATACATGAGATAGTACAACTGGTGGAAATCACTGCAAACCTTCTCACGTGTTGTCTGGAGTATATACTGCTTGTATACAGATGATATGACAGTAACCACACAGTTGTCAAAATGCTGAGCGCCATGACTTGCCTTAGACAGGTTCCATACTACAGCAAATCTTGTATTTTAATCAAGTTCTCTGTTGTTAGATCAACTTGTTTCAGCCATTTAAGATCTCCAGCTTTTACCTTTTCCTTGCATCTTGGAAAATTGTGTCAGAAATCCCTTATCCATTATAACACTTGTATTACAGCTGACACCGCACCAGTTTGACTTATTTGAATGTGTCCTTATTGGCATACGCAGAGATACTATTAACTTGGGGCAGGAAATGCCTCTCAACTTGAATAGAGTAATCCACTGTTTCCCAGAAGAATAGCATGGACTCAAACATTTCACCCTGCACGCTGCTTTTGTCTGATGTAGTCAACAGAACTGCACAGTTAGCAAGAAGGCTTAGCAGCTCCATTGTATGCATTTAACATCTTGCACAGAGTATGGACTCAGCTTTCCTTCCAGTTTTACAAGGACCAGTGAGCCCTTCATTTAATTGTACCATAACTGAGTCATTAATGTGGTTTTAGAGCAGCATGCAAAGGTGACAGAATATTCTGTATACTATAAATGCTGGCCTCAAATGTCTCCAGTCGCATATCTCATATCTCTTCTTTTTTATTTGCAGATTCCTAACCACCAAAGACAAATTTCATGAGTTTGTAGACTCTGGGTGGAAAGGCCCAAAAGGACATAAGACCAGCGATAATGACAAACCTGAGGAGGAAAAAGAGACATCTGTGGAGGAACCTGAAACAAAAAAATTCAAAGTAGACCCTGAGGAGAGGAATAAAGTTGGTAAACGCATTCGGGGACAGAATAAGTCACGGCCACACACGAAGCCTAATGCCTTTGATGAAAAACGACTATGTCCTTCAGTCATTCAGGTAGAAAATGTTAACATCATTCTGGAATACCACATAAGTATTTTGCAATCACTATGTCTGCTAATGGTTATTGTCATGACTTTTCCCATCCATGCAGGACAATAAGGAATGTACCTATGGAGACAAATGTATCTTTCTTCATGACGCAGCCGAATACATGGCCTCTAAGCTCGCTGACATCGGGGAAAGCTGCTACCTCTACGACACATTCGGAAAGTGTAGTTATGGTCTCTCCTGCCGCTACGCAAAGGCGCACACCACACCTGACTTCAAAACCATGGAGAATGCAGAGCTAATAAAGGCCAACGAGGGCAGGGAGACGGTGAAGAACAGCCTGAAAAAAGAGCTCCAGAATCAACTGAGGAAGCGCTCTGTAGCCTTCAAGAAGTCAGAGGAGTACCTCAAAACACTTGCAAACAACAAAGAAAAAACACAACAACTTGGAAATGGTAAGACTATATAAAGTTTTTTTTTGTAAATGTCCTATATGTATATTCTTCCAGCTCTCAGTCGTTCTTGTCTCATAATGAATCTGTTCAGTGGTTTAAAACTGTAATTGGAAAAGGAAGTGAAGTGAGTCTCTGTGGCACTCATTGGAGCTTTCATTTAATCAGCTCACTCTATTCAGTTATCGATTAGCAACATGCCCGTCATTCCTCATGATATAAGTTGAACAAAATTAAAATAAATTCAGTCTTATAACTCAGTCTTTTTTTACACCTTGGTGATACAGCTGTAGTATCTGCAGATCCAACAGGAGGGGAGCAGCGTGTGTCTACTGAAGCAGAAACACAGGTACAAACTTTTACTGAGCACAACACAGTATGTATACATGTTATGTTGCTCAGTATTTTACATGTTTTTTTGTACATGTTTGCTTTGTAACAGGCCAGCCAAGATAAACAGCCTCCAGTGAAGACTATTGGCCCACTCACTGATGAGGATGTCATTAAGTTGCGCCAATGTGAGAAGAAACAGGTATATCTCGGGCCAAAATCTTTACTGCAATATCCATTTCATTATCGGTTATCCATTTTTTTGAATTGTACAATTTAATTACAGCCAGCTGATACTGTTAAATCAATCAAGTCTCTGCACAACTCACTTCTGATTTCTAAGGAGTGATGTGTTCCGTCTCTTTGTTCAAGGTGGACTTTCAGGACAAGCTATACCTCGCTCCTCTAACAACTGTAAGTACAACCAGATTTAATTGAGTCCTGAGGATAAACATATTATTGCTGTAGTTATATGCTTAACTGCTGCCAAACTAATCAAATTGAAGTGATTCTGATTCTAAGTTTTTTATTAAAGGTCCCCTATTACACTGTTTTTCTTCAATATATTATAGGTCTCCAATATATACAAAACATGTCTCTGAAGTGTTTGGCTCGAAATATCAAACAGATCGTGCATTGTAGCATCCCATAAACCCCTCTGTTTCAGCCCTGTTTCAAAAGTGCTGATTCTCTGTCTGTTACTTTAGATGAAAATAAGGAGCCACTCCCCACGCCCCTCTTAGAGATATTTTGTTAAAAAGAACACACTGGTGCTCTAGGAGGAGATTCAGGTGATAAGGTGGGCGGGTGTTACCTTGGTTGGTTATTGGCTAATGGTTACACAAGCCAAATAACCGTTATGACATCATAAAGTGACCAAAATCTGATCAGCTCATTTTCAGACAGGTTTTTATATAAATGGATCAGGACAAAAAGAGAGCAAATCTTTTTTCCTGAAAACTTTCAAAATCTCTTTACACAGAGGGGACACATGGTTATGTATAAAAGACATGAAAAAGAGGATTTTGCACAATAGGTGACCTTTAAGTTTCTACTCTATAGAAGCAGAATTAAAACATATTATATCAAATGCTAGCCCAGATATGAAGTATTGACCTGACTTTAATGATTCCCTTTAATTCCCTAGTGTGGAAATCTGCCTTTCCGCCGTTTGTGCAAGCGCTTTGGAGCAGACATCACCTGTGGGGAGATGGCCATGTGCACCAACCTGCTGCAGGGCCAGCAGTCAGAGTGGGCCCTCCTGAAGCGGCACGAAAGTGAAGATGTTTTCGGCGTCCAGGTGCTGTTCCTAGATTTCTTTAACTCCTCAGAACAAATCTGCTCTCTTTGATGTTGTTAACACTTTTAGACAAACTACAAATTGTATTATTTTACTGTTATCAAAAGATTTTGTTAAGTTGTCTGAAGAAAAGTCCAAATGTTGTCTTCAGGTGGAGGGCTGTTTCCCCGACACCATGACAAGGTGCGCAGAGCTCATCAACAACAACGCAGATGTTGACTTTGTGGACATCAACTCTGGATGCCCCATTGACCTCGTCTACAAGAAGGTACACCCTCCATAAAACCCATTAGTTCCACTGTGTTTTCACTACTTTATGTTATCCTCTCTGTCGTTTACATTTGAGCGACTTCACACATACTTGCTGCAGTGTGAATTATCTTTAGATCAGTATTTCTTTGAACTGAAGTTCAATTAGAACCCACCTAAAAGCTTAAATCCACCCCCCCTTTGTTTGATACAGTCAATGCCAAGAAAAAGATAAGCAGAATTATCTTTTTCTAAATAAGGCAGGCCAGTCAAAGTAAAATAACATTAAACCATGATGACTTTAAGCTTTAAAGTCAGACAGTCATTTGTGTTTTATGATCCAGTGTATAAAGCATCGTTGAACATCATCATGACACTCACTGACCGGTGGTGTTTGTTTGCTTTCCCTCATCAGGGTGGAGGCTGCGGCTTGATGACACGCAACAGAAAGTTTGAACAGATAATCAAGGGAATGAACCATGTAAGTTTGGGTGTTTTGACCCGGTTCAGCTGGATGAGATGTCTTGTTGAATTTAGGCTTTTAGGAGGAAAATGTAATTTTCTTTCTTCCTGAAGGTCCTTGACGTCCCATTAACAGTCAAGATCCGCACTGGTGTTCAGGAGAAGTGCAACATAGCGCACAAACTTATTCCAGAGATGAAGAAGTGGGATGTCTCTATGATCACAGTAAGTAACACGGCATGCGTTTGAGCAGGGGGAAAGGGTATCGACCTTCATGTGTTGAAAATTATTAGTATAGTGGCAGTTTAAAGTGGACCTATCATGCTATATTTGAATAATATATTGTAGGGCCATACCTATATAAGGTATATTTATACGTTTTCTTTTTCAAAATACCAAACAGATCATGCATTTTAGCCATGCCTCATTTCGCTCTATTTTGCTCTCCTCCACCCTGTCTTTGCATGCGCTGCAGCTGACCACGCCCCCCTGCAAAGGAGGGGGCCGAGTTACGAGCGTCATGTTACCATGCTGTTACCATGCTGTTACCATGCCACGGCAACCTCTCATTCCCCTGATAGGTGGAGAGTTGGCCACATAGGCGGAGCTCCTCCGTCCTGACGTCAGAGAAATGTTCAAACCTGTATCAGTCTGTATCAGATGCGTTGCAGCCCTGTTTTTAGAGATTTGGGTATGGAGGAAAAGAGAGGGTTGTGTTTTCTGACACTTGGTGAGTTCCCTGGAACACCGGGGACACATATTCATGTATAAAAGACGTACAAAAGTGCATTTTGCATGATAGGTCCCCTTTAATTAAAAAAACACCTGCAAACAACGGCAGTCCAGTCAGTCTCGTTTCAAATAGTGTAGGAACAAGTGGACACTTGAATGAAAATCATATCAAATCGTGTATTAATTCATGTGGCTAGCTTTATTATTTTCTTACGTTGTTGTTTAATTTTAATGCACTCAACAAACCTCTTTGAAATGTAATGTGAGAGCACTTGATGTGTCTATATATCTAAGGTGATGTTACCATTTTGCATTTTGATTGACTTGATTGAACTACATTTGATGCAAGTTTGATGCATAATATTTTTTCCTCCTTCAGCTTTAAAGTATGAGAACACAACTGATGTAGTTTCCTTACAGTTGCATGGCCGATCCAGAGAGCAGCGCTACACTAAACTAGCTGACTGGGACTACATCACCACCTGCTCCAAACTGGCTAGTCCTGTCCCCCTTTTTGGTATGTGAACTTATTTTTCAATTTCTTGATTGTAGTTACACACACTTCAGATGGGGGCAAACTATTATATATATATATATATATAGGGTTGGGAACCGAAACTCGGTTCCAGATGAGAACCGATAAGAAAATGCCAGGTACCCATACAAAATACACAATTTCGGTTCTGCTTAACGGTTCCTAAACGCGGTAGACCTTGTATTCCACTGCGCCGCGGTGACCCGGTGGAATACAGGGTAAGGGCGGACTGGCCATCTGTGTGTTCTGGAGAATCACAGAACGGCCGGTCGTCAGCGGGCCGTTGACGGCCGGCTCGGTACGTTGACGGCCGGCTCGGTACGTTGACGGCCGGCTCGGTACGCTGACGGCCGGCTCGGTACGCTGGCGGCCGGCACCGTCCTTAATTTTTTTAAACGGCATTTTTTTTTTTTTTATTTCGCCTTTATTTATACAGGTGTAAAATCTCATTGAGACACAAGGTCTCATTTGCAAGAGAGACCTGTCAGTGGTAACACTACCACACAAAGTTACAGACAGACAGGACACTAAACACAGAGGCAACAATAAAATACAACATCGCATCATGTAAGTCCACAGTTGCCCCGCAGCGAGGCTCCCCCCGCCCTCCCGTAGACAGTTCACAAGCTCAGTCACTTCATAACACCAAAGATGGATCGCGGTAAACGCTCTAAAGTGAGGCTCCACTACACTAAAAAAGAAAAAGACAAGGCACAGTGTAGCTTGCCACAGGTATAGCTCAGTTAAAATAAGGCACAGCTATTGTGCAATACATTTGTATTGCATGTATATTTTTTATTTGTAAAAATGTCAGTTAAAGCTTAAAAGAATAAAGATATTTTTGTTATCTAAACGTTTGACCTCTTTCTATTACATTTTGGAATCGAAACGGGGAATCGATAAGAACCGGAATCGATAAGCAGAATCGGAATCGATACATTTCAAACGATACCCATCCCTATATATATATATATTTATATATATATATATATATAGGTGAAAATAACTCCATGTATGCATTTTGATAATCCTGCACAGGCCTAAGAAATGTTATCTATTGTTGGTAATGATTGAGACTACTTGTGTTTATTGTCCCAGGTAATGGAGACATTCTGTCCTATGAAGATGCCATGAAAGCAAAAGAGACCGGAGTTTCTGGAATTATGATTGCAAGGTTGGTGCCACTTATAGTGATTAAATAAGTAGACAATATAATAGAAACACAGAGGCAAAAGTCAAGATTGTAAAAATATTTTGTCCACCCTAGTTTATTTACTATGTTGTATCATTGTCAGTGAACTTCTTGTGTGTTCTTACTTTCACAGTAATTTAGAGGATTATTTAACCCATAACCAGTCATGACCAGTGGAATTACTCTATATTACAGAGCCGAATTATCTTTGTGGTGAACTTGAAACTGATTGTGCATGTCTGACTTTTGGATCTTCAGGGGTGCTCTTATTAAGCCCTGGATCTTCACCGAAATAAAGGAGAGCCGACACTGGGACATCTCGTCCAACGAGCGACTGGACGTCCTCCGGGATTTCAGCAACTTTGGTCTAGAACACTGGGGCTCCGACACACGGGGGGTGGAGAAGACCCGCACCTTCATGCTGGAGTGGCTCTCCTTCATGTGCAGGTAGCGAAATATTGTAATTATGAAAGCAATATTTATGACTTTTAATTTGACCAGGCCGCTAAATATATGAGTTTATCTCTGCCTCTTAGATATATTCCAGTGGGCCTGTTGGAGCGGGTGCCACAGAAGATCAATGAGAGACCTCCATTCTACATGGGCAGGAACTACCTGGAGTCACTGATGGCCAGTCAACATGCTGGGGACTGGATCAGGATTAGGTGAGCAGGGAAACATCAAGAAGCACCATTTTAAAGTCAGGCTACAATAAAATGAACTGTTGATGTATTTACTGATTCTAATGTCCTTCTTTTTCCCCTCTCCAGTGAAATGCTGCTCGGACCTGTACCAAAGAATTTCATCTTCTTGCCAAAACATAAAGCCAATGCCTACAAGTGATTTTCGTTGAAATATCTAGTACTTCCAATTGTTCTTTTGTTTGTTATTGGCTTTAGAGAATAAGATTCAAAGAAAGCTAATCTATTGTTATGAATAATAAAGGTTGGAAGAGTCTGATTATTGACCTGTGGTGATGCAGTAGCAGAATACATGGCGTGTTTGTGTACTTGAATATATGCAATAAAGTATTTTTTTGCCACACAAGATATTCCTCTTTCTTTTATTCTGAATGAAATTATTTGATATGAGTCATTATGAAATATATTCTGACACAAACATCCAATATTACTCATTACAATACTTAAAATCTATTTTTTATATGAAAAATAAAAATAGATATGTTTGTTATGATATCAAATTGAGCAACACTGGGAATCATTTACCATTTTGATAAAATATATACTTGGTGATCAGTTTAGTAACAGGATGTAGAGGCTTTTGCTGAACTGTTTTGCCCAATGATCTAAATATATTGTGATTTCTTGAGTCTTATTTTTGGTATAATACTGTGACCTGAAATTGGTCAGGACACTTGTGAAGTGTATTTTTGTATTTTCTCAATAAGGCTAATAAAGCAAAGCAGAATTCCCAATCTGTATGAATTATCAAATATGTTTAATTACCTTTTGGATATGAACATGTGTTGCATACTGCCCAATGCATTTCATGTTTTTTTCAATTGTTAATAGGTCCTTACCAAGTTAATAACAAGTATTTATTATTCACAGTTGATAACTGAAATATGTATAAGATACAAAAAGTGAACATTTATCGATGTATAATCATTCAATATTTTAAGTGGCCAAATTGTAAACCCCTACATCGGTGTTGATAAGACTCATGAACATAAAACAAGGCCTGTCTATTTTCAACGACTTCTGTTTGGAGCACATATGCGAGATTGATTCATACATACACACACACACACACACACACACACACACACACACACGACTTGATTAGCAAGTGCCAATCAGCAGCTTTCAGGTGCAATCAATTAACTCCAACCACTACAGCGTGGCAGGAGGTTACGTCTTCATTCGACTTTCTGCAGCTGCTGCAGGGTTATTCACTTCGAGCCATGGCTGGTATCAAGGTTGATGTGTTGGCGGTGCTGGTGCTGTCTGGGACTCTGCTGCTGGGTCCAGTGCGGGGATGGAAACCAATCACCAGCGATCAACTCAATCACTTCTACGAGACCGGGCAATGGGGAGAACCAGAACCAAGCGTGACCTCCACAGGTAAGCCACTCTCAATCTTCCTCAATGAGTGAAAGCTGTTCGCTGTTGCAAGAAAACTCCTCCATCACATTATGTCTGGGCCTGGAGTTCTTAGGTTTTCTTTTAAAGCTTAACAATATGTTTTGAAAGGAATTAAAATACTGTTTTACAAGTGAGAATTTGAGGCATGAAAGGCTCTTTCTCAACTAAATTCTCTTGAGGTTTAGCTGCTATATAATTTTTTTGTTTGGTAGCACCAGTCATTTGGGCTTTAAAGGACTGTTCCTGTTACTCGTATAGCCTACTGACTTGATGACATTTTCTGTCTTGTAAGTGTTAAGAAGTCTGTGTTCCCTGACAAAATATTTTGTGTTTAGTCTTGGGCCAGTTTTATCAGTTGCAATACACTTGAGTGGAGTGAAAAAGCTCAATCGATGGGAGTAAAAATTACATTTTTGGAGATTTCAGAAACTTGTTCAAAAAAATGTGCTATTGCAAGCATCAGTTATGATGGGAGGGGTTAAGGGTTTGAGTCTTCACAATGTGTTCTAAAATGTATTTCATTTTAGCTACAAACTCCCTTTGGGCAGACTTGTGGCGGAGTCTGCACTTGGCACTATATATTATATACAATTATGGAAATGGCAACAATATTTAGCTGTGTCTTCACAAAAGGTTTTTTTGACTGTATTCATTTGACTTTGGTAACAATGACCGCTTTCTCTAGATGACCACAGTGACTTCGATGAGGTGATTCCTGAGGATGAGTTGCCTGAATTGGGCCCCTCCACCGGTAGAAACCCCATGTCTGCTCACCATGGATTCGAGGAGGATGTAGAAGATTATCATCCACAAAACTGGGCCAGTGCTCCGAAAAGTGCATTTAAGGTGGAATTTGTTGATGATTCCCCAGAAAGAAACATGGCCAGATGTAGTGAACGAGAATTCCAGACGGGATTTCAAGATGCCCCTCCAAGAAACTTGGCCAGAGGCACCGAACGAGAATTCCAGACGGGATTTCAAGATGCCCCTCCAAGAAACTTGGCCAGAGGCACCAATAGTGGATTTCAGGTGGAATTTGATGATGATGCCCCAGAAAGAAACATGGCCAGAGGTATTGATCAAGACTTTCGGACAGGATTTGTAAATGCCCTTCCAAGGAGCTGGAACAGCAGTACCTGTCCTACTTCGTCTGGGTTAAGTGTGACTTGTAGTGAAGCTGGTTTCAAGATTGTGCCGACGGGTTCCCTAAGTGATGTTAAAGTTTTGGGTATGTATTTGACCTTGTCTGCCAATTTGTAATATTTGCTAACTGCATCTGGTCAACTTACTATGACTTTTTAATCCTTCCCCCTCCAGGCTCAAAGGAATTGATGGCTGTCATGGATGCTCCAGGGTTTTGTGGTTATAAAGTGAACGCTTTCCAGAAAACCTTGACTGTACCCTTCACTGGGTGCAATGTGAAGCATGTAAGTGAATGAGAATTTTATTTTATTAAACCTTGCATTTAGGAATTCACTTCCTAAAGCTCCTTTTTATTTGTAAATGATTAGACTGATGGCTACAGCCTGCAGTTGTTGTACGTCGATGAGTTTGGTAGCACACAAGTCACCACTGCGTTTTGTGACAAAGTGCCCGACCATGGCCTGTTCCCTCGCACCAAACCCAGGCGTGTCTTCATACCAACAGAAGCGCCAAAAACAAGTGAGTGAAACTGCCTAATGAGCTATAAACTAATTGTTGGAAGACATTTAATGTTGCACTGCTGAGGCTGTACTACATATTTATGATAAATGACAAGTGTAGGAGACTTGTTCTTACTTCGAGGGTGGTTTTGTGGAGTAAGGCAGGCACTTTAAAATGTCCCTGCCTTTTCAGATTGTGCTGTCCTCTTAGGGGAGAGGGTGACTTGTGGCACTTCAGGAATATCTTCTGCTGACTGTGAGAAGACTGGATGCTGTGTGGATTATTCTACATCGGCATGCTACTACCAGCTGGATGGTATGGCTCGTTTAAGGAGATGTTATGTAAATGTTTTACCGAATTTAAACTATTAACACGGTAGATTTTTATTGTCACTTTTCTCTTCAGAGTGCACTGGGGATCAACACTTTGTCTTTGCCATTCGCTTCGACTCTGCATCCATCCCTTTGGACCCCACAACGCTTGTCATTCCTGGGACAACTTGTAAACCAGTCATTGTTAATGACAAGGTTGCCATCTTCAAGTTTAAAGTTACCGAATGTGGAGCTCATGCCTATGTAAGTCGTTCCCTCTGCATGACTGTTTAACAATGCACTTTTCAACGAGTGAATTGAGATGATGATTCTTCGAGCTAGTGATGTCAAACTTTTAAGACTCAGAATTGACTCGCGAAAAATCTTTAAACCGCAGCTTAAGTTAACTTCTCAAATGGGACAACCCAAATGAATCCACACATTCCTCCACCTCAAGGATAAATTGTTGCGATTTTTCAGGTAATAAATCACTATAAAACGTGTCTGACTGTGCCTAAGGCATTACAGATATACAGTGGTTGACTTGAGGGAAAACTGTGTTTATTTTTCATACAGGAAGTTGCTGGGACAAAGATCTACCTGGCTGAAGTGCAGACTATTGTCAAAGCTTTAAATCTTAAGTATGGCATAATTACGAGAACTGATCCACTCAGGTTAGTCGGTTAATTAAAGGTATTTTTCCAGCAATGTAATGTTGTAGCATTGTCTTTACTTTTAGCACCAAGCTTGAACTGACTTTTATTAAACAATGTCTTGTAGATTCATGGTTGAATGCCGCTACGGCCAATCGGGCTCTCCTCCACAGTCTCTTGCTAATGCAGGCTATATGGTCAAGACTCCATCTTCCAGCTTGCCATCATCTGTCATGTCTGATGGCTTGTATGGTGTACAACTGAGAATTGCAACAGGTGAAGTTTTTCTGTTTATTCATTCCAAATGAAATTCAAATGTTTACACTTGGCTGGAGTTGGCTCATTCAAAAGCAAATCAAACATTTGTCCAATTTCTATACATTTGCTTGTTCAACCTCAACAGATCAGACTTATTCAAACTACTTTGAAAATGCCAAGCTGCCCCTGCGACTTCTCCTTGGCAAACCAGTGTATCTTGAACTGCGCCTGCTGTCCCCAAAACCAAATGCAGCAATTATGGTCAACTATTGTATTGCTTACCCTCGCTCTGCAAAGAATGCCCTGGTGCTCATTTATGAAGGGTAAGAATGGCCCCATTCATGTGTAATAAGGTCATATAATTATCCTAACCGTAACTTCTGTTATATCTGCAGGTGTACCAATCCTTATGGCCCAAATGTGGCCATCCTTAAAGTCAGTGACCTTCTCACACACCGTCACCAGTGGCGCTTCATGGTCCAGGCCTTCCAGTTTATGGATCAAGCAACAAACCAGTACCTCAATGAAGAAGTGAGTCAAAGTATTAAGGAAGCCTTGCTGGGTTAAACGGTCAAAACTATGCCGTATTAAAGGTCTTGTTTTGACTTTTGCTAAAGACTCTTACACATTGCTAAACTTTACTGTTTTGTCTACAAAGGGAAAATTGGACAACTTGTCCCTCAAGGATTTATGAATGATTTATCATGTGGTAAATGTTTATTTCCCTGCAGATCTACTTCATGTGCTCTGCTGAAGTCTTTAAGACAACAGAGAAGACTTGTGCAGAACGGGGCTTTGATGGATAGGTGAGAATCTAAACCATGCAATGAATTACCAACTTTTTCAATGTCTTGTCAATTTGAGTTTGCTTCTAGACACGATGAGGATCTGCAGCTGAAGACATTAAGAAAACAATTTATTATTAACTGGAAAAAATAAAGTTTTATAATACAGCATACAATGGTCTGTCTTGTGGTGTTATGATTTCTGCTCTTCAAAAAGGTGTTCCATGTCATGCTAAAATGAAATTGACAATGATACATTTCCAACAACACTTGACTTTCTAATGAGGAAAA